CAGATCGGGAGAGTAGTCTAAACTGAAAAATCCAAGGGAAGTGCTGAACCTCTTCTTGGTCGCCCTGCGACGGCGGCTATACATTTCCCTTTGGTGCCATCAGCATGCCTAGCATTGGCATGGTTGGTTCTACTTCAAATGTATTTGATGTTCCCCAGGCCCAACTCACCAGCCATGCACATCCGACCAACGAAAGCTGGGGAAGACCTGCTTGACATCGGATCTTTCTTCTTTTGTTCGGGTTTCTGAGGCAAGACACTCTGCAAAGAGCCACCAAAAGTGTGTTTAGGCCCGAGAAGGGCAATCTTGCCAACTTTTCCTTCCCATCGGAGCCGGTGGCGCATATCCTCCACTTCTGAGACATGGGCGCGTCTTGTTTCTTTTCCATTCTTTTTCGCCCTTTTTCTTTCTTTTGATAAACCGAAACCTCCGCCCATTGAGAAAAGAGAGATTAGCGCGCCATGAGCCACGGCCTTTATTGCTAGGTGATGGGAGACTCTCTCAAAAGCGTCCTCTGAATTGGAACGAGAGACTAAAAACCAATAATACCAAATCCACTGTAAGATCTTTGAGGAGAATGCAGTGCAATGAGCCTTGCCGTCTGTCACCAGTTGGGGAACCAGAAGCGACATCGAGTCCGAACATCGGCCGCGCTGGGAACGCAGCATGAAGGCAAAGGCACGGCGCCGAGCAAATATCGCAAAATATTGATCATGTTTTCCCCACCATCATTACCATTGAAGGGGACATTGGCGAAGGAACGGCAGAAACCCCCACCATGTCAATGTGCTTCGCGTCGAACAATAGCGAGGGAGTGGGGGATTCAACCATTAAAACTGCAGCCACAAGCACGTTCTCTTCCTATCCCGTCGTTCGTACGTGCTCTTCTCCGCACCTTGATGCTGTTTCTCCCATCACACATTGGCCTGTTTTACACGAGTCAACGAGGTGGCCGAGTCACAATTATCAGCCGACTTGCCCCATTGAGACGCAAAGGCCACCCATTGCCTGATTATCTGAGCCTTGTCTACTCTAGTCTCCTCACATCGATAATGACACCCAACATCCCCACGGTGCGCACCCTAGTTGCTACATGTAGTCTTACACCGGAGGATAGCTCGGACGGGCTTTTGGCACTGAATTGAGCTGGGTACAAGCTGTCTAAGTTGTCGCCATGATGGTGCGACAGTCGACTAGTCCTGGTTAACAGCTGGCCGCATCGCCGCTTGATCCTGAACCAAGTCCCGCGCTCCTGGTACTTGATATATAAGTGTCTCCGGGAGGGGAGAAGTGGGGGAAGACTAGCCTTGAACAAAGTCATAGCGAGTCTGAGAAAGAGTATCCCTTGCGTTTGGGTTGATGGCGGAGAGAGGACAAGGGAATTTCAAAGACCTCGATTAGGAAGAAAACCAACTTTCACAGCACAATGCAATTGACAGAGGCATTTCCAAACAAAGAAACAAGCACTCTCACAATCACGTCAATGGAAGGGGCGTCAGCCAATCAATTTTGAGCTGGTCCCCCACTCTCAAGGCTGGGGCTCGCTCTTGCATCAATGGTTGGGGGCTCGGGTGATTAAGGGCCGGGGGTTGGCTTCCGGCGCCGCTGAGAGGTGTTGACGGAAAATGCTGACGTGATCAACCCAATTGATCCCTGATCGCATTGAAGAGGACAGGTCAGGTGCCTGGAAGTCTTTTTACGCCCACAGATTGAATCGTGTAAGCTCTCAAGGAAGAGGGGACGTCACATCGGATCCATCAATTGGGGCTTTTGTTGTTGGTGCCGTGGATTGAATGGGGGCAAGCTTCGCCCGTTGCTTTTTGAACAGGGACACCTCAGCAATTCGTTCTCGCGCAAACTTGCCCTTGAGATCACCAGGCTCATGGTTACCCTGAGGGGCCCCCGCGCCGATAGGTAGCAGAGAGGAAGGTCTTTGAAATCGATCCGATTCAGTTTGATCAATTGGCTCGGCGGAGAGCTGTTTTGCTTTCTTGGGGGTGGGAGGAGAAACAAAGGGAGAGGCCAGAGCCCCCAGCACGTGCCGTCCTGCTCTGTTGCTGACCGCTTGCGATTCGGCAGGGGCCTTTTCAACCAACGCCGGGCTGCGCCCAGGGCGAACGGCAAAGCAGGCACTGGGAGTGGCTGGAGAGAGTCACAAGCTCATCACGAGGTCGGCTCTTGTTGGCCATTCAAGCCTCTCGCACTTCGCACGTCACAAAACCGCAGCAATGCGGTCTCCCTTGGCTCATCTGATTTGGTAACCATCAACACTTTTGCCCCGTAATACCATCTGGTTTCTTTTTGATTTGGGATTATTTCTTGCCAATCGGTTTGGGGGTTGCCTTTTCCTCCCCTCTTCTCCTCCTCTCCTCACCCGTTTGCGTAGACTGACCCATTCCTGGTCCCAGAATGACATGAAATGAAGCAATCATCATCGCAATGCTCCCTCAATGCCATCCGATCACTTGCCATTCATGGATAGGGTGCTGCCGTTGTTATTAGTTGCGGCCGGAAGGAAGAATGATTGTTCCTGAGCCCAGCACTAAATTTGGGATCTCCGTTAATAATAATTATAATAATTTCAATTCACCCTTTATCCAACGTTTGGTCACGTTCTCCTCGTAATCATCGCGAAATTGGGCATAATGGGCAGATCGTTTCGTAGTTATGCTCCCCGTGATCGACTCGGCTTTGTGGAGCCTCGAACCCTGAGAGGGAACCGCAGCAGAGATCCATGGGTCTGCTGTTACTGTTACTGTTACTGTTATTCATTCATTCACTCATTCCCCAGATTACAGACGACAGACAGGTTTGGGGTATGCGGGAGTGAGACGGGTGCGGAGGGGGAAGCTCGCCCGCTAAATTTCCCCATCGTGACATGTTAATCAACAAGTCGTGGAAAAACGACAATCGCGCGGGAGTCCGGGTTGCGCTTAATTACGGACTACCACGTACCCCAGATTTGTCTCTGGCCCATTCTGGCCTGACCGGCCCTGCTCTCCTGACCAGTTTCCCCTCAGAGGCCTCAAGACATTTTCAACTCACCTTGCACAAGTCGTATCCGCCATATTGATCAAGCAGAGGTGGACTTTGTGGCGGGTTGACCGAGTGGTACTAGCCGTAGCCTCATTTTCCCCTTCCGTCCTTCCCCTTCATTTTGGCGTCTTTCATTTTTTGCCCTCCTCTCTCCATCACATGGGCAGGTGTTCATTTGCCTCCGTTAAGCACCCAAAGGGCTCGTGCAATGCCCTTCGGCGCAATTTGTTGTTTCGTCCCGTGTCCCGTGATGTGTGCGCTGGCTGGGGTCCCTCCTCCATTGTCCATGCCTCCCTGGGCCTGGTCTGAGTGGAGGACCAACTTCGTACGAGATTCCCCGTTCCTGCCCAACTGGGGGCAAGGGCCGCTGGATGGGGAATGACGTGGAGAAGATTCGGGGCAGAGAACACCGTTTTTGCTTTGGAAAATACTGCCGATGGCAAAACGGTCTTCGTCCGACCGCCAGACGGAGCGTGTACACCCCAGCTCGGTACAGAGTGACCTGAGCCGGCCCAGGAGGGATGGGGGAAAACGCTAGGCTAGGTTAGGAACCGACCGCAACCGATGGCACAAGACGGAAAACGCACAACTCAGAGGGTTGGGAAAAAAACCCACCCGGTCTCCCGTCCAGTCATTCCTGCCCTCCCTCTGGCACAGGAAACGGAGCATTGGCTCTTCCTTTCCTCAGCCGCGCTCAGGACTCCCTGGAATGCTTCCCCGAACCAGAATTCTTGAGCGCTCGTCCATTCCTCGGTAACTATCTGTTTTGAACAGTCCACTATTATAGCAGGAAGGAAGTCCCGTGAGGAGCAGACTGTACTTGTACCGTCATCCTAGCTCCGTTACTCCGAAGCTCCTCCGTCATGAGCTTGTGAAAGGAAGAAAAATACAAAGGTCAGGTTGTGTACAGGAGAATGCGTGGCTCCGATTGGTAGAAATTCCGTCTTCTTTTCGTTCCAGTCCAGTCCCTTTTGCAACCATTTTGTTCCTCCTTCTCTCTCTCACTGCCTTCTCCCGACGCTCTTTCTACCGAGGCCAGATGGGGTTCCACTATCCCGAGAGTTGATGGGGTCTTTCGAATTTGCACGTATCCACGTGCTGGGAGAACGGAGAGACCGCCACCAATCCCGGCACAGGTATTATCACAAGGACCGCAAAGTGCTACCGTCGGGAATTCAGTGGCCTAATCCTAGAGGGGTGGTGGAGTGTTTCTTTTAGCAAAGGTCCACGCCCCCTCACGACTCACACCCCTTTAGCCAGACACCCCGGACAAGGGTGGGAGGGGGCGTCGAATTTTCAAGAGGGGTGGGCAATGTTCAAAATCTTTCACACCCCGGCGTCTTTGATACCCCTCCCCTTGGAGGTACGAAGGTACTCACTCCCCTCCTCGACTACACTACACCGCGTCTTTTTCTCACCCCCAGAATCGGGAGTGTTCAATGTTCTCTCCACTACCAACGATCTCCCCAAGAATAATAAGTGGCTTTCACCCCCATTTCGTCTCCCACACTCTCTTCCTCAACCCGCATACATCTCAACCTCGCTCGCGCACTCCACGAAAGACAACGTCTTTGCAACTTTCGACTCTTCTCGTCACTTCGTTAGTCGACTACATCAACAAGGAACCATTCCCATCACCAACACCGACATTGCGCCCTCTCCATTGTCCGGCTTGCCAGCGACTTGAGCTTTCCCTCATCCCATATCATCCACCATCATCAACAAGACTTGTCCGGAAGAACATCGTCAACTACGCTCAATTCACAGCGATTTCGACTCTTTCCCTCGCTTAGGTGCCGATATTTTCCTCTAAACCCGGGAAATCGTGTGCGTGACCGTCCATCCTCGGTCACTCCTCACCACCGCCGTCCCAAACGGCATCGTATCTTGAGATCAACATTCTCCCCAGCTTTGAAGAAGATTCGCTTTCTGCTCGATCCTTCGAGCAGTCTCGCATTGGCAACATGCCTTTCCAACTTGATACCCCCGTCCTTACTGTGGACACAGGAATAATACACAAGGTTGACGCCGGCAACCCTCAGACCCTCTACGACATGTGGACTGGTGAGTCAACTTGAGAAGGCCTCATATGGTCCTCGTACAGAATATACTAATGCAAAAGTGAACAGTCTTCTCCAGATGCGGCGATTCTGTCCAGAACGGCAGGCGGCTAGAATACATGTGCTGGCGCTACTGGAACAGGGCCACCATGCTCAACAGCCGTCCTGAGCCCATCAGCGGCATGTCCCAGAGTGCACCCCAGGCCATTCCCTCCGTCTCCTCGATGCAGGAGATGCCCCAGCTTTCCAAGAGCGTCGATTCCGCGCCCGATGAGGAGGCTGTTGACTTCACTGCCGAAACCTCCCCGGTCGACATCCGACCCAGGATCTCGCGACAGGACTCGTGCGGTAGCAGGCGAGATAGGACTCCCCGTTCCGAGGAGTTCGAGAAGCTCTTCGTTTCCATCATCAAGGAGCAAGAGCCCCTTCTTCCCCAGCCCCCAGCCCGCCAGGCCGTCGCTGCTCCCCTCCAGCGATCTGGATCCACTACTGAAGAGGAGTCTACCCAATCTTCCCAGACCTCGGAGGATGTTATCTCCGAGGCCTCTCAGCAGACCTCTCCCGACCTTTCCTACCGCACCACTACCGTCATCCGCGGATTCTCCCCGCAGCCAGCGTTACTGTTCAGCAGTGCAGCGGTATCCCCCAGAGCCTGCAGAGCTCTACCATCGAGTCCACCTCCGTCCCCCAGGAAGCAGGCGAACGCCACCTTCATCTGCGGTGTATCCAGCTCTTCGAGCGACCACCAGAGCCTCCCTACTCGCAAGACCTTGGTCAAGCCCAGGCAGCCCGTTTTCCAGATTGGAACGTCGGGTTCCTCGGAAGAAGAGGGCTCCTCAGGAGCGCGATGCAAAAGTCTCGCTCTGGTACCTTCTTGGGCCAGAAGAAGCAGGTCACCATCCAGCAGATGAGGGCCCACGAATCGAGCGCCATCGAGGACGACGACACCGAGTGCGACGACGTTGACGAGAGCGCGATCGACGACGACGAAGACGACTCGGATTGGGAGGACTCTGACGAGGCCAGCGGCAAGTCCAGCATCGATGACAAGACATACTTCAAGCGTGTCGACTCCAGCGCCCAGCTCGTCTCTCGGCGCTCTCTCATCACCCTCGGACTCGAGGCGACGGAGCGACAGAGGCGTCTTGGTAACCCTGCTTCCCAGTCCACTTCCGCCCTTCACCGCCCTCGTGGAGCCCTCGCCGGCCAGCAGGTCGCCGGTTCCCCCAACGACTCGGACGAGTCTTCCCTCATGATGAAGAGGGGCGGCCGTGTCAGCCAGCTCAGCCAGCTCAAGCCCATCAATGAGAACCCCAGGACCGGACCCCAGCCCATCATGGCCCCTCCTACGCAGAACCACTTCCCCGCCGCTCTCTCTCCCCGAACCACTCGCCGCCACATGCTCGCCACCGAGCTCACCCCGTCTCTTCGCCGAAATCTCCTCTGGGAGCGCCAGCAGAAGTCGTCGACTGCCAACGCTGTCCTCAAGCGCAGGCACACGTCTCACGACGTCGCCAACCTCAAGCAGTACCCCGAGCGAGCCTACACCACCAAGGCTGAGGATGCCAACTCCAGCAGCTGGAACCAGTACTTCTCTAAGGAGGCCTTCAACGGCTACCATTCCAAGGGCTGGTAAACAACAATTACGGCGCGACTTGTGACTCGACAGCTTCCTGGCCCACCGTGGCCGTGTACATTTTTTCAAATTGGGATGACGGAACCAAATCATCTTTTGGACTCGCGTCCTCCACCACATGCATATCCGATCAGTTCAGCGTTGCATCCGCATTTCTTCTTTTAAAAACATCAACGATTCGATTTATGGCGACGCTGCATATCTCAAGCGATTTGATTTCTAGCCCTTGTTTTTTTCTGCTTTCTTCTTTTTCCTGACCTCCACTGAAGTGGCGTTTTTGTTGTTTTTCTTACTCAATGATACCAGGGTCAAGGGTTTTCATGTTTGCGAATCATTTTTTCTTCTATCGCACCTCTCGGGTTCTCTACCAAAGCTCAGGTCTACTACCAAAGGGTATTGCCGAACGTCGCCTTTAGACGTCGGCTGTGTTGTTTTGTGTGTTTTTATTAATACAAAGAGGAAGACGGGTCACACCATCGAGGGCAACCTCGTTGCTCTTGGGCACTGGAGGAAGAAGCGGTGATTCAAGGGGGGTCCTTCGCACAAGATGTCGAGGACGAGAAAAACAAGGCACAGAGGGTGGTTCAGAGGAGGAAAAAGCCTTGAAAAGGATTTAGAGTTGATGATAACGATACAACCCCAAAACAAAACACCCAACCGCAAAAAGATGAAAAAGCCCCGATTAAAAACACCCGGAAAATGACCTAAATAGAGCTGCAAAAACATGAATAAAACAATATACAAAAATTCAAACAAAAAAAACTTGTCTGTGAACTAGTCGTGATTGCCTTGTGTCTTGGTAGTTAGTACCTTGCTTCTTTCCTTCAAGTGGTGATGGCAACAGGTTCTGAGCACGACATGATAGATGGTCTGGGATCGAGTTCGGTTAGCCCAAAGCATGGATGTTGGAATGGGCCGAATAATCAGACTCGAGCTCGTCTCGATTGGGCACAGCATATTTCCTTTCCTTCTTGCCCATCCTTCCATGTCTGCACTCGCGCCGGTTTTTTACAATGTGGTTCTACGGTGAGCAACTATTTGGCTGACAGGCTTAGTCGGGACTGGTGGGCTCCTCTCGTTTTCCATTTCGAGCAAGGGACGTGGCTGGCATCCACGGCTTCCCCATCCACGGATGAAGGGTAGGCAAAGCATCGCCCGCAAGCCCGCCCCTCGACTGTGCAATACGGCACGGGAGGGGGATATTAAACGAAGAGGAAACTAGAGAGACGAGAGAAAACAACCTTGGGGGCAGCGTCCGGGGAAGAAAGGGCGAGAAAACCACACAAAGATCGTGGAGTAAAATTTCCGTTCGCACGGGGTCAACCCCTTGCTTACGGGGGAAGGGAAAGGTTGGCTCAACTGGAACTCATCCATGTGCTGGCCCTCCAGCCCAGCCCTTCCCGTCGTCATTGTATGATGGAGCCGAAGGGGCGCTGGTGGTATTACTCTATTAAGATGAGCCTACTATATGGCGCAACGCAAGGGGGTGAATGAGTGTAATAGACCCAGCCAAGCATACGTGATCACGAGGCTTTCTCGAACCAGAATACCAATCTGGGTGATTTGGAAAACAAATCCGTTGTCGTCTTTTTCTTTTCTCTAAAGTAAAACCCCTTACGTATTGCGCTTGTCCTTTCTCCTCTCTCCGCTGTTTTTTTCTTTCTTTTTCTTTCGTCCTTTTGGGTCCGTTCCACAACGAATACGGGCAGTGCTAAAAGGACAAAAGAGGAAGACAAAACTGCGTTTTCAAACGAGGTCAGCGTGTAGAATTAGAATGGGGATTACATGAAGGAATAGCACTGAGGACCGCGACCCATTGTGGGCTTGGGCAAAATGTCTGATTCCCGGGTGTGCTGTCCTAGCCGTGCTCCCCTTAAAAGTTTCCAAGTCAATTGAATTGTCTGACTCTTTGACTTTTCGAGAGTCATATGAGAAAGGGGAGTGAGATTTCTGGGTTTGGTTTGCCTAACCCTCCGCTTCGTACGCGACGGAACGAAGGTCCGACAACAGCGGACGGGGTGAAGGAGGGGTGTGGTTTTGCTCTGTTGATTAAGAAAAGAACAAAAAGGAAGAACAAGACGTAGGCGAGGAGGGGGGTCGGGGAAGGGTGAAGTGAGTACATGGTAAATTGGATATCCTCTTTTGACACCTTCTCCCTGGTTTCGGTAGATGGGATATTGCGGGGAGGGGGCGTGGCAGGTGCCAGAAGGACAGGAACATTGATTGAGGGAGGCGGATCGAAGGAGGGACAGCAAAAGGGGAGGGGTGGGAGCGGCTCAGAGTTGTGGAATTGACGTGCTGCAACTGCTGAATTGATTCTTTCGTTCGAGGGATCAATCCGGCCCTACACCGTCTATAGCGGGGCGTGTATTATATCTCTGGGCTGGGCTGTGTCGCTGGAAGCTGGTCCTCCTCCCCCTTCTTCCTGGGTTGGGCGCGGAGGGGAGAAAGGGGGCTTATTGCCGAAGCAGAGGCAGAGAGACACTGGACGAGCATTGGGGGCCAAAGGATAGGCGAGGGAAACGATTTTCCTTGGTCCATCCATCCCTCCGTCCCCATGTACGAAGTATCAATGTCCTCGTCATATCGTGGGCTTTTATTAGGATGGCAGGAATTTCGGTCATGGGGAAACATGAGCCCGTCAGGCGGGACAGAATGTCCGTGGCACCAGCTTCGCAAGGAACATTGAAGGAAACTGGGTTTCCCCGTCTCAGGACACTCGCTGTTGCCGTCTGAGTCCATTCAAGGTTCCCCATTCCTTCCTCTTTTATTGTTGAATGCAGGGAGCTCCTTCCTTTTTGGCAGGTTATCTTTTTCAATTGTCCTTTGTGGCTGCGATGTATTATGTCACCTGGCCGGATCTCGATGAGTTGGGAAAGCCCACTAGAGATCGCCAGGCCAGTCCTGTGAAGGAGCTGAGATTGGTGGAAAATCCTGGGGAAAGAAAGACGCCAGGCGGCGGGGATGGCTCGTGCTCGAGTCTCTCTCTGCCTCTTTCGATCCGGCCATTGTTAATTCCAGAACATCAGACGGCCGATCGACAAGAAGCCGCGTTCGCGTACGCATTTAGAGAAAATGCGCATTCCGACACTCCCCAGGAAATGGGAATCGCTTTTTCACTTGCAGGGGGGCAATTCTTTGCAAATGTCGGGGCGAGTATGCAGTGCAATTTTTCTTCTTCTGCTTTTTCCTCGCCCATCATTTGTTGGGAAAGGACAATCTCATTGCCGTCCCGCATCACCGGCTTTTCAGTTTTTCCCCTTTCTCTTGGATCGACTTCTTTGTGTCTTAATATTATTACAGGTAATACCTGCATCGAGGGCCGACATTGTCTTTTCGAGACAACGATCACCCTTGTACGTGTGGGGTGAACCTGATCCCGCTTGCTCTATCACTACGTGCATCATAGAGGGAATATACAAAAGAGCAAAGGAAAAAAATGAAAGAATGGAAGAAACGGGAGCAGAACAGCGCTGTCGGTGAAGAAAAACAAGTTGTATAACGTCATCGCGTCATCGCCGATCGAAGCGTGATTGCCACGAATCTGGAGGGGACAGAAATGAAGCGCAGAAGCGGAAAAACAAAACCATGCAGGATGCAGCCAGAAGGAAAAGGGGAGGGTGTTCGCCAAAGCCCCAGGATCTAAGATCCCGGCTTCCCGGTGCACTTTTCCCCTTGCCCATCCGACTGACGTACATGGAGCGGAGCTGAGATTTCTAGTTCAAGATATAGGGTGAGTGTGGTTGCGGGGGTAGCTTGCTTGGGAGCAAGCTAACCCATGCCGGGAAGCTTTGTGCGATGTATTCGCGCGAGGGGACGCCGACAATAGCCTGCCAAGGGCCCGCCTTGCTTGCAACAGAACTCGATCACCCTCCTAAACGGATTGTTGGAAAGGGAGGGTAGGGAGGGGAGGGTGGGCCGGATCGGTGGGCATGGTGATGTTGAGTGAGACGGTTCGATGACGTGCACAGCTTGACAAAGAAAAGAAAGGAATTTGGGGCACATCGGCCGACAGCTCCTCGGGGAAGCTGGCTTCAATTCTGTGGAGGTCTCAATGTTGACTGAATGAACGGCTCGAATTGGTCGGGCGTGCGACAAAGCTCTCTGAATTTGGCTAGAGCGGGACACTGTTCACGTCATGGTTCGGTAAGATTCGGTGTGTCTCATCACAAAAGGAACAACCCCGCCAAGGGACACCGAGATGGACCTGTCTTTCGCGGGGAACACCTGTATCACGTCCACACCATCACCCTCCCGCGCACGGAGGGGATCTAAAGCTAGGGAGGCGCGGGGAAGAAAATCCTGAACAAGGCCGGTATTCCTGTACTCTTCGAGTGGACAGACAAACACCTGGGCGCGGGGATAGGTAAAAACTGGGGTGGCCTTGGACAAAGAGGCACATAACACGGCAACAGGCACAACCCTCTTCTACGCGAAAAAGGAAAAGAAAAGAAAAAAAGGGTATCGCGCCGTAGATTGGCCGACCTGAGATCGACGATTCATATTACCTCGAGTACGCGATGATGAAAGATTGATGGCTGGTAAATCAGCAGGACACATAGAAGGGAGGCTCCAGTTCGTGCATCACCCACCCACACATCGAGCTGGCATGGAGGGGATGGGTGTTCTTGATCTGTTACAAACTACACTAGATGAAGGGTCGGGGGCCGCGATGTCGGTTTTCTAGGTGCAAAAGCAAGGATATCGGCCGGCAATCGAGAGTTTGTGAGCATCGTCGCGGAACGGAGGGCGGGCAATCGAGTTGCCTCTTCCAGTTTAGAGCCAAGTTGGACACTAAGTTGGTTTCTGTTGTTTGGTGTGGCTGGGTCCTGGTTTAAGCCATGGGTTGCCGAGATTTTTGCGTGTCTGCGGGCGTCTGCACGACTGCCAGCCATCGGCACATGGCAAGGCACATGGAGAGGCACATGGAGGACGGGCGGAGGTCGAATCCCTACTCGAAATGGACAATCAGATGGCCATTCCTTCATCTCCATTTCAAT